CAGACATTACATTCTCATCATTGATAACTATCTGATCAGATAACAATTCGATTCGATTGGTTATAATAATCGAATCGATAAATTATTTTTATGGCATATTATTTATCACTAAAATAAATAAATTAGAAGATATAAATAAATAAATTGCATTTGGTATTATAATTTGTATGTATTATTAAATAATTTTTAGAATGATTAAAAATTAAAAATAATATTAAAATAAGAAAATACTTTTTTAATAAGAAAATAAAGTTTGTAAATGTTTAGACAAAGCCTAAGCATAGATATTATTAAAATAACTTTGTAATAACTTTGTAAATGTTTTTCGATTTGTGTTAAAAATCAAAACATTGGAGCAGTAACTTTCTAAAAACACGTTTATCTCGACTGTACCACATTTGACAGTGCAAAATCGATTCCCACATTTGCCCTTTCCCCACTTGTGGCTAACACTTTCCCACCATTCAATAATTTAGCTCAGCACCTGTGAAGAAGTATAGCCTATAGTATCAACCATCTTCATGCATATTCGTTCACTGTCCACCGACGAGTTACCCTGTTAGAAACCATACTTTGTCGTTCGAAGATCTTGAACTTATGACCTCTTTGTTGTAGTTTCCATTTATTGAAACACTCAGGAATGTATAATCATACCGTTTCTCACTAGAAATTTCGTCCTGCACTCGTCAAGCGTCTCGTCGATAAAGTATGCCCGTCTAACCTTGCTCTCACTTCCGCATTTTCTTCAATTTCTTCTCCAAACCCACTAATCCATTCTCCAATTAGGTGTACAATTTGAACCTGGTCTTCACTTACGACTTCAAGCTTTGCATTTTTTACAACTGCATGTTTCCTTTCCCCCGATTTGTGATGTTCGACACCTTGCTTCGTCAATTGCACATGACTGCCCAAATGAGTCTGGCTCCAAAAAATATGCAAGATAGAACCCAGCAGAGAGGGGGACGTTCATTGCTACTTGTGAGATCGCCATTGTCGAAGGTCAACGACATGGTAAGTTTTTCACAAAACATGGCTGGGACCGTGTTATTGTGCCTTTTAACTATATCTCTGACCACAATTAGAACAAACAACAACTTCACAACCATTGGGACGCAATACGTCGTGACCACAAACGTTTCACTGAGCTATTGGCTTGTACCAGGATCGAATACAACCCATCAGCGGGTCGAATTGTAGCATGGAGGAATGGTGGACCTGAAAAATCAAGGTACAAAGTTGCGAATCAAATGCCATAGTACGTAAATAATGACTAACTTACTTACATTTGTGTATCGTGTAACCGTGGTTAAATCAAACCCTGTTTATGTAAACAACTTGCATTAGGGGTTGTTTCAATCTTTGATTTGAGTTAGGAATTGCTCTTTCGAGGATGTGCTATCTAGGACTGGGTCATATTATCCATAATGTGGAATTTTATAGTATATTGATGAGTTTTTGGTGTTTTCCATATATAAGTTTACCTTTTACATTTATTTGCTTCAAAAAGTTGTGAGAAGGTGGAAGTGATTGATTCAACAAATTAGCCGCTTGAGATGCTTAACTTTATAATGCTCACACCTCATGTTGGACTCATTTTACTTGATGCTGTGATTTGTTTTCAGTCCCTTAGAATTCCTGAAGGGAAAATGGGCATAAGTGTGTTATTACAATTTGATAATAATTTCTAGGACTAAAAGTAAAAGTTGTTTGTAGCTTGCACTGGGGGACCTAGTTTCCTTAAATGTTGTAAGATTAAATATGCTTATAACATTTCTATGTCATTTCTAGTTAACTTGTAAGGAATATCTCATCATTATTCCATCTTGGAACTTTTAAATTTGTTTCAAGAAAATGCCTATAAATAGCTCAAGTCTTTCTCTTCTGTTCACAGAGGGATTTAACTTCCACATGTAGTGTTCATAAGACGTACAATAATATAACATAGAAAATGCTGTGTTGAATCTTTTGCTGTAATCGTGTTATCCCCAATAATAGAATGCCACAACTATTTTTCGTTAAGCTGTGTTTTGTGCGGTGTTCGGATAGTATATACCCTTTTTGTTTTCAACTCATTTGCATTTGTGGTATTGTATAACCGTTACTGTAGCAGAACAAAAACTACAAGGATTTTAAAGATAAAGATGTCGGTGAGATCTACATTCGATATTGTCAAATTTTCGGTGACAATTATAATGCTGACAAGTACGTAATGACCCCAACAAAGTTATGTAGAACGGGTTTCAATTTGTCCAAGGACGGTACGGTTGAAGACCATAGGAATGCAATCCTTATCGATGGGAAAAGTACTGGTTCGAGTGATGAGGAAAACGAAGAAAAATTTAAATCAAGCATGAATGTTTCCAATGCCAGAAGCGGTGAAAAATGAAAGATGGTGATGACTACGCAAAAGGAGAAGAAAAAGAAAATTTCTACGCGAAAGTTGTCATTTTCGATTCAGCAGGCAAATAGTGATGTCGAGGAAGTGGCGGCAAAGATAAATACCATTATGGCACCGATTGAAAATGCTGGAGTTGCATGTGTCAAAGAGTTGCTTGCAGCTGGAAGGCTTGAGCGACGAACCCCCCTATACTTTTACGCATGTACGCTTCTAGCATAAAAGCTCTATCAGGATGTGTACGGTGTCATGAGAGACAAAGATGGAAATGTTGAATGGATTGAGTGGCAGTTTAACGAGCAGAATAAATCACTCTATTAGTAGCACTACGAGCTCTAATATTCGTGTGTTTTTTTCCCAGGACAAGTATAACTTTCTGTACTTTTCCCCATGTTTTTAAACTTTATGTTTCGTTTCATGTATAATTATGTTGTTGAGGTTTGTTTTAAAATTTATTTGTTTATTTATGACCACAAAGAATACATGCATATTAGACAACTTTTGCAGCTAATGTACATCTTTTTTGGGAATCTTTCAGCACTAGAAGAAAAAAGTTTAACATGTCTGTAGTCATGCAACATTTTATTTGAATAGTTGGTACAATTTGCATTGAAAGGTTAATCAAGAAAAACACTTACCAACCTTATATACTCTTCTATAAATTAGTTGTTTGGAACAATGAATAATGATATGTGAAGTTCCTAGGTTAGTAACACAACTTTGTGCTTCTGTCAAAAAAATTTCTTCTTGCGCAGAAGGAAAAAAACATTTTTTATTCTTCAATTACACAATGGATGATCTGAACTTCAATTGTGTGATTTTATCAGGCTCTTACGCTTAAGAAGAAGTCGATGATGATAAAAAATTTTAACCAACTGGCGGATGACGTAACAACATGGGTTACATATTGTAGAATCGCATATAGTGACGCGAGGAACTACTATCGTAAATAGTGGCGTCGTATTTGAAGATTTCCTTTTTCTAGAAATGGCCACACGTTTATGAAGGAAGCAATGGAAGAGAACTGACATATGTGCTCTCAAGAGTTCCGAATGTACCACAACTATTGCGACATTTTTCACATATTCCGCTTGACGAATATGGCTTATGCAGTAGCCAGAAGATGGATATCTACGAGCAAGTTGGAACGTTCTTGTGCATAGGAA